CTCTGGCTGGCGAGCACACCCGCTCTATAGCAAAAACCTCTCCAAAAAAGGAAAAAAAAAAAAAAAGTGAGAAATCCCCCCCCCATGGGGGATAGCCATCCCACAATTCCCTTCTCCTCCATTCTCCTCTCAGGATTTTGGGCATGTAAGCACACGTGACCAGTGTGAGTTTCAAGCCAACGGGTCCGGGACTCAAACTGTGGTTAGTCATGTGGAAGTCCAGCGATGTAACCACTATGCCACCTGCTGGTCTGAAGCATATTTCCCTTTAAGTAGGCTAATATGAAAATAATTTTCTATGCCAGATATGTACTATGAGTAAAGAGGGGAAAGGGTAGCAAAGAGAGCTGACATTTATTGGACACATGCTTAAACCGTTAGAGATCCACACTCCCTAGGGCCCAGGGTACTGGACACGCTGTCTTACTATTGTGCATGCCCTCCCTGGGCACAGAGGTACAGTGTCTGTACATCTATGACTTAAGTCATCCGATAACAACGATAACAGCAACGACAGCAATGCATATAGAGCACTTGCAATGTGCTAGGCACCGCCCTGAGCAGTCAATATTAACTCGTGTGGTAAAACCCCATGAGACAAGCTCTGTTAGTTGCCCATTTACAGAAGTGGAAACTGAGGCCCTGAGGTTAAACAAACTGCCCAAGGTTACCTAGCTAGCAAGCGGTGGGGCAGGGATTCAAACGCAGTCTAGCTCTATGGGAAAAGGACATTTTAATTCACTGTCATGTATCCAGCATTCAGTCCAGTTCTGGCTCGATAACAGCTAATTGATGAATGAATGAAAAAACTTGTTTTAGTTTGTGTCCACGAGGTTATCATGAGAAATAAGAGCTCTTTACCACACCATGCTACCTCTTTTCAAATCCATTTGCTCTCAAGACTACCGATTTTTCAGACCTCTGATCTAAGTTCTTTTTTTAAGATTTATTTAATTTTATTTGTTATTATTATTTTTTAATTTGACCAGAGAGACAGACAGAAAGGGAAAGACAAGCCATCAGATCCAGGACGCGAACAAAAGTTGGCCATGTGGGAGCCCAGCACCTTCACAACCGTGCCACCTTTCCGGCCCGTGTCCTAAGTTCTTAACTCTCACATGAAATGGTCTGTAAGATACACCTAACCAAATGTCCCATGGGTTTCTCAAACTCAAGATGCCCAGTGCATCAGCTTGCCCCAAGAGGCTACTCTACCCTGCAGGTAACGTGACCACCACTGAACTAAGGAAAAAGGAAGCCATTCAGCCTATTAAGTTGAATTTCATCATGCTTCAAGGACTGCCAGGAAAATGATATTTGGTTTCCAGACTCCAAAATACCAGTATGTGATGTAGGGTTTGAAGCAATGCATTCTAGGTATTGTATATAACTAAAAGCTATGGGAACAACCTGCCGCTCCCTAACAGAGTTCCAAAGACAAGGAAAGACCTTGTGTCTTGAATTTCGTCCTTCCTCCACACTGCCACCTTCTGATGGCAGCGGGTACTTACAGAACCCTGTCACTGGCCCTCCAGCAACTCTCTGCTTTCCCTTGGCAACTCCCGTCTTCCCGACTGTGCAGCAGTCCCACTGTCTGTGTGGAAGTCTTCTGGCTCTTCAGACTGCCTAAACCAATCTGCATAATCCCATTCCCTGAAGGAGGCTGGCTCAGGGATGGATATGTGTCCTTAGTTTGTCCAGCAGAATGAAACCCAATACTGCTCTTCTGTAGTGGGGAGAAGAATTATTTTTTCTGCTCACACTCTATCACCTCTAAAAGGCTTAGAAGAAAAACATGCAGCCTTGAAAATCCCTGGCAGCTATTCGGAACCGTGGAGAGACAGCCTGCCTGAAAATGGGAACATGAGAGAAGGAGAATAAGGTCCTGGCCAAATCACCTGATCCAAACTAAAGCTTAATCTGAAATCCTCAACAGCTGAGGCACGTGAACCAACAGATCCCTTTTCTGACTAAATCGGTATAATTGCTTTTGACTGCAAACAAAATTCAAAATAAAATGACGGGATCATCTAGCACGTGTTGGACAGTGCACTGAAGCTGGTGAAAAAACAGATACGGTTCATATACCCATGAAAACCAGAGGATAAATAATGCAGGTGTGATAAGAATGAAAAGGGCAACACCAGGTTCCCTGAGGAACAGGCATATTTGAGGAACTGAAAAAAGCTGAGGGAAGAGAATACAAGACTAGAGAGTCTGGAGAGGTGTTGTTCAGAGAACACCGATGACAAAATGTGACCAAAATGCAAAAGCAGGAGAGGGCATAGCGGTTTTATTATTATTATTTTTTATAGAGTGACTTTTGCTATAGGCTGTGTGCACTTGCTGGAGAGAGAGAGACAGAAAGAAAGCGAGAAATTACCCCCTGGGGAGACGGCACTGTCTCCATCTTTTCTCCTCCATTCTCCTCTGGAGACCTAGGGCACACACACACATGCACCCAGCATGAGTTTTAAGTCACCAGGTTTGGGACTAGAACATTGGTCGACTATGTAGGAGTCCCGCAATATAACCATTATGCCATCTGCTGGTCCTGGGCATAACAGTTTTTAACATTGAGCTCAAAGGCTTAGGTTAGAATGTAGCAAAATTTCCAGCTTTTCAACTGGAAATAAAAAATTGCAGTGGCATTTTTGGGGGGCACACTAGAATTTTTTTTTTAATTTGCCAGAGGGCATGTGCACTTCAGAGAGCAAGAGAGAGGGCTGAAAGGGAGAGGAAGAAAGCGCCCCCTAATGGAGTATGGTCATGTTGCAATCCCTTCTCCACTTCTCTATCCTGTCAGGATTTTGGTCATGCATGTACTATAAATGTACCACCATGTTTTTCAAGCCACCAGAACAGATTCAGCCATGTAGGATCCAGCTCCCTTCATCACTAGCTCTCGGCATATCAGATAACTTTAAAAGGAATTGCCTTTAGAAAGGAATAAAACCTACTTGATTTCCTAAAAAAAAAAAAAAAAAACAATAGGAGAAATGAACTTTCTTCTTGAAATTTTCCAGGAACATAGACAAATATGGAGAAATGGTTAGACAAGGGACCAGCAGGTGGTGTATTGATTATGTTGTTCACCTCCCATGTAGTCAACTGCAGTTCGAGACCCAGACCCAGAGGTTTAAAACTCATGCTGGGCACGTGTGCATGCATGCCTAAGATCCCGAGAGGAGAATGGAGGAGAAGGGACTGCGGTGTGGCCATCCCCCTGGGGGGTGATTTCTCGCTTTCTTTCTGTCTGTCCAGTGAGTGCATGTGCCCTATAGCAAAAATCTCTCTCTCAAAAAAAAAATTGTTAGACAATGTTGCAGCATTAAATATTCACTAATATTTATATTATAAAATCAGAGTATTTGTTACTAGTGAAAATAATTACATTGAAAAGATAATTATGTTGTTTTTCAACTTAACATTTCTGTGCATGGCAAGTATTAATATAAAAAGAATGTGTACACCAACTAACTGTTTCCTGCTAAATAATAAGTATCTTCCCTATCCAAAACAAATACCTAGCTAGCACTCTTGAGCTAGGGGTGTCTGGTCTCTCGAAACTTCACATCTCCATTCCAACCAAAATATCATCTCTGAACTTTTCATTCAGTGTAGAATAACTCCTGAAAATCAATTTGGACTTCGGTCAAAAATCACTGAAGCGTAGTGATTATATATAACTAAATAACAGTTACGTTAGAAATCAGGAATTGGGCCAGTAGGTGGCATGGTGGTTAAAGTGCTGGATATATAAATATATATATTACATATCCATTGGTAAATGCTATGAGTATATGGATATGGCAGAAAACTGGTTAAGTGAAAGTTATATGTAAAGCTGTCCCTCCACACCCACAGGGGACTGGATCCAGAATCCCACCAAAATCTGCAGATGCTCAAGTCCCTTATATAAAATGGCATAGTATTTGCATATAATCTACACTCTCCTCCAGTATACTTTAAATCATTTCTAGGTTGCTTATAATACTAATGCAATGTAAATGTGTATAAAATAGTTGTTATACTGTGTTAAAATCTTTAGTTTTTTTTTCTCCAAGTATTGTCTATTCATAGTTGGTTGAATTTGCAGTTGCAGATATGGAACATGGAAGAGCCACTGTAATTATTTTCAGAAGTACATCCTAAGGAAATGCTATGTGTTTTAGTAAGAGTCTTAAATGATTTAGCATATTATATTGCTACATAATTGATATTGTATACACCGAAAATGGGGCCAGCCTGTGACCCGGTGGATAAGACAGCTGGATCCCACATGGCTGACTGTGTAGTCTGAGTCCCAGACACAGTGGCCCAAGAAACACACTGGATGTGTTTGTGTGCATGCCCAAAATCCTAAAAGAAGGAAGAGATGGAGAGGGAATTGTGCCATAATCATTCTCCACGCAGTGTGCTTTCTTACTCTCTCTCTTTAGCAAGTGTGCACACCCTCTAGCAAATTAAAAAACAAGATAAGACCATCAGAATCCAGGTTTCAGAGCTATAATCACCTTATTAACCATTTGCTACCTTTCTTCATCCAGCTTCTCATCCCCTCCTCCAAAGCCTAAATAGTTCAAAAATAAGGGGGAAAAGTGTAGAGATCTGTCCTAATCTAGAGCTGGCTAGTGAAGAAACTCGTGTTTCTCCTTTCACTTAACTGACAAATATTGGGGTCAGCAGGTGGCATAGTGGTTAAGGCACTGGACTCCCACATGACCAACTGTGATTCAAATCCCAGACCCCGTGGCTTGAAACTCAGGCCTAGTGCATGTGCATGGATGCCCACAATCACAAGAGGAGAATGGAGGAGAATGGACTGTGGTGTGGCCATCCAACAAGGCGGGGATGGTGGTGTGATTTCTCACTTTCTCTCCATCTCTCTGGCAAGCACATGTACCCTACAGCAAAAATCTCTCCAAGAAAAAAAAAAAAAACACCGAGAAATATCACAGGTACTGCTCTGAGTCACAGAACATCAGACAGAAACCCTGTGTGATGCTCCACGAATACAGACCTTGAGGTCCCTATGCATGAGTCCTTTACTGTGCAGAAACTCCACTGCCTCTGCGATCTGCAGGAAGATGTGCAGACACACGCTCCTTTCTCGCTCCTCAATGGTACACCGTCTGTTCATCCAGTCTTTGAGGTTTTCCTTTCGGCATAGCTGCATCTGAATGTAAAGATACACCTTTGGGGAACTGGGCTGGAGTTTTTCTGCAGTGTTTCTTGTGAGATCTAAACTTAAAGTGGTTGGTCTTGGAGGAGAAATAGACAAGGTCGCTTCAGAAGAAGATTTGCTACTGGAGTACTTGACAGCAGTTAGTTTATTGACACAATGGTTGCCAATACGCAGTTGGTTGGTTTTAGGATCTTCTTTACTGGATGCATTATCACAGCCAGAATCTTCAAACACTATAGAAGAGGAAGTTCTCTCCCTGGACCTTGCATAAGAAGCAGCTTCAGAAGGACAGAGTTCAAAGGAGTGTCCCTCGTCATTGCCATCCATGGTACCATCTTCCATGTCACAGTCTGTAAGGCAACTGTCCTGGAGGTTGTAGGCTGCATCCACTGACCTACTGATGTCTCCATGGTCTGTTCCAGAGAATTCCAAAGGAGAGAACTGGCTCTCGGATGAATTTGTCTGACCACAGGAAATACCCACCGAAAAAGACCTGCTTCTTCGTGGAGAAGGAGCTATGATTTCTATACGTTCTTTTGTAGAAAAAGGATCCACTCTGCGTATTTTAACTGATGGTGCCTCAATTGGGCTCGGAGAGCTGAGTGGCCAGTCTGTGCTAAATGTGGGAGAAATACAAAGGGTTGAGAGTGACTACGCAGTTATTACATGTTTTTGAACTACACCATTTGTTTAAAAGAGCGTCAACCATAATAAAGCCAGTTACCAAATGACAAACGATAGAACAATATACTGATAAAAATAGTATGATACGTGAAACGAAGGACATCACATTGCATCTGTTCCTTCTAAAACACTTACTCTCTCAAGTTAATTGTATACTGAAGCAGTGATCTGGTACTGCAAGGCCTTCGGTGCAAAACAGCACTGAAAGCACGCCAAGGACAGGAGTCCTCATGGCCATGATTCCGAAGTCTCTGCAAATCAGGGCAGCAGCTCATGGGCCCCAAGACAAGGAGCCCTTCACTTGGTCCTTAGCTACTGGCTGTTGTACATTAAGTGTCACTGTAATGAGGTACCTCAGTAGATCCAATGCTGCCGTCAGCACCTGCAGGCAGGAGGAGTTTTACTCCAGTTGCTGGGAGGCTATCTGCATGTGCTGCTTCTTTGTCCCCTAGTAAAAGGGCCTGCCTTTCTATAGCACACGCAGTTAATATGGAGTAAGTCTTTAGGCTGCCTAAAGTTATGTATTTTTAACTGCAAATACAATAAAATTACTCAAAAGGAGTTGTAAATTGATAACTGCTAATGCAAAGACTAAATAAAAAGTTTTAGGAAGAATAAAGATCGGCGAGGTAGTGGTACAACAGTAAAACGCAGTGCTCTGAGAGGCTGACCCACACAGAAAGGCTTCTAATAAAGATCGGCGAGGTAGTGGTACAACAGTGAAACGCAGTGCTCTGAGAGGCTGACCCACATAGGAAGGCTTCTGGTTTATATCTGGAGACCTTCCTGAGTACACGAGACACACACTGCTCATATCTGGAGACCTTCCTGAGTACACGAGACACACACTGCTCACAATCCAGGGTTGGACTGAAGTTGGAGGTGGCAGGGACCCTGTAAGAGGTGCTGTCTCTCTCTCACTTGTGGAAGAAATCAGCTTAGGGGAAAAAAAGAACAGGGATAAATAGAGGTTGACAGTATCTCATATTGAGAATAGTCATTATAAATCCCTCAGTGCACTATCAATTAATAATTTTTGTTTGTTTATTTTTAATACAGTGCATGCAGTCGCCAGAGACAGAGAGAGACAGATGGACAGAGAAAAAAAAGTGAGGAATCACTCCCAGGGGAATGCTACGCCTCAATCCTTTCTCCTTAGGATCTTGGGCACACATGCACATATACCCAGCGTGATTTTCTTGAGAGGTTTTTGCTATAGGGCGCGTGCGCTCGCCAGACAGACAGAGAGAGTCAGAGAGACAGAAAGCGAGAAATCACCCTCCGGGAGGATGGCCACGCCGCAATCCCTTCTCCTCTCGGGATCTTGGGCACGCATACACACACACCCGGTGTGAGTTTAAGCCACCGGGTCTGGGACTCGAACCGCGGTCGCCTACGTGGGAGTCCAGTGACATAGCCATTACGCTAACTGCTGGTCCCCCCAGGGTGATTTTCAAACTGCCAGTTCCATGAACAGAATCATGGAGTCAGCCATGTGGGATCCAGCTGACTTAACTTCCTGCTGGCTCCATGAATAATAATTTTTAACTATTTATGTTCTCAAGAACGAAACAAAATTTCACTTAACAAGTAGCAAGAGAACTTCCTAAAGCATGCCGGCACAGAACAGAATTCTGTTGTTCTTTTTCCTTTAAAAAGAAAAAAAATCCCTTTGCAGCGTGGCCATCCCCCCGGGTGGCTCTCCAAAAAAAAAAAAAAGAAGAAAAAATCCCTAATGTTACAGAAATGATAGTGTGTTCACGTAAGCAAAAAACGACTCCAAAAAAAAAAAAAAGAAGAGGAAAAAATCCCTAGTGTTACAGAAATGATAGCGTGTTCACGTAAGCAAAAAACTAGCCTAAAGGAAAATGTTAATTATTAAATCTGTCTAACAAAGTTACCTTTCATCTTTCAGCCAAATTTCATCCATCTTTTCTTGCCACTTCTCTGGTGGTGCTTCCAGCCAGGCATTGAAATATCTCACAATTCCCGGATGCTCAAGCTTGGCTAAGGCTTTAACTTCTCTCATTACTTTTTCCCGAGCCAATTCCCTGCAACAGGGAGGAAAAAGAAAGGAAAAAATGAAGATGGTTTATATCTGAGGAAGTATTCATATTCAGTAGAGAAAACAGAAAAAGAATCAAATAGAATTCCCCTTGAATCTAAAATTAGAAGCAGATGAGTTAGCCTAGGGTATAATTCTAAAAAGTCACATAGTAAAACCTGTATTTAAAAACAATAACATGTATTTTAGTGTTTTTTGTTGTTGTTGTTGTTCCTTCTAGAAATAAATGCTATAAGCACATCTATTACCTCATTCTAGATAAAGCTTTCTTGACTAACTGAAAATGAGTCACTATACACGCTTAAGTATTATTGCTTGGGGACCAGCAGATGGCATAATGGTTATGTGGCCAGACTGCCACATAGTCAACCACAGTTCGAGTCCCAGACCCAGTGGCTTAAAAAACTCACACTAGGAGCGTGTGTGTGCATGCCCCAAATCCTGAGAGGAAAATGGAAAAGGGAGTGGAGTGGCCATCCTCCCTGGGGGTGGGGAAGGGTGTAACTTCTCTCGCTTTCTGTCTCTCTGTTTCTTTCTGTCTCGCCATCAAGCATGTGCACCCTATAGCAAAAATCTCTCTCCCCCACCAAAAAAATTATTGCTTGATGTTTCTTAATCAGTAGTAGAATAAGCAGGTGATAAGTGAGGTACTCAGAAAAGGGAGCTTAGCATTCCAGCTCAGGACAGAGAAAGACCACCCCAAAAGGGAACATATTATTATACAGCCCTAAAAAAGCTTACACTAGCACACTGTTTGGAGAAGCCTTAACTACTAAATATCATAGGCAATGAAGTTTAACCAGAAAAACAACTGGATTTTATCTTTTGCTCTGGCAACTTTCTGATGGAGCTAATCTCACATTTTTGGGATCCCACCATCACCTAAACAACATAAATAGATACACATTTATTTATGTTGTGCCACCATGTGGGAGTCTAGCACCCTTCACCACGCCACCTGCTGGCCCCCGTATTTAGTTTTACACATCCTAATAGGAAAGTTCTGAGTTGTTAGGAATAAAAAACAAGAGCATATTTTTTTTTAGTAGATAGAGAATAATTTATACCGGTCACAACTTCTAGATAGCTGGTTACCTGATAGCACGCAAAACCTCAGAGTTGGAAGGTCAGAAACTATGCTTCCGATAGTCTCTATGAGTCACGGTAAGGACATTTTGCAGATGAGATTAGATCAGTGTGCTGATTCCAGACGTACTAAGAGCACCGTTTATTACCTATTGGGAAGACGGATCCTCTTGATGGCGTAATTGCAGTCATCTACTTTGTTTCTAGCTTCAAAAACCACTCCAAAGCCGCCGCGACCCATGCACTGAATTGGTTCAAAATCTGTTAGATACCTACAAAAACAAAAACGTTACAAAGTTTGCAATGGTTTTAAATTTTGTAGTAAGAGGAATCAGCGGATGGCATGATGGTTATTGTCGCTGGACTCCCATGCAGTCGAACATGGTTTGAGTGTCAGTACCGAGTGGCTTAAAACTCACACCAGGCATGTGAGTGTGCATGCACACCCAAAATCCTGAGAGAAGAATGGGGGACAAGAGATTGTGGTGTGGTCAGCCTCCCGGGGCGGGGGGGGGATTTCTCGCTTTCTATCACTCTTTGGTGAGCACATACCCTATAGCAAAAATCTCTCCCTCTAGAAAAAAATATTGTAATACTCAGTTCAATCTCATTTTATAATACATAAAATGTGTGAACTCACATTACTTACTTTAATAAAGTATGATTGAAATTCTAGCATTCTTCTTTTTTTTTTTTTTTTAAAGATTTTTGCCATAGGTGTATGCATTCACCAGAGAGAGAGACAGAGAGAGGGAAAGTGAGAAACCACCTCCCCCAGGGAGGATGGCCACACTGCAATCCCTTCTCTTCCTTTCTCCTCTTGGGGTTTTAGGCAGTTATATGCACTCGGCAATCCCACTGGGTCTGAGTCTTGCACTGTGATCAGCCAGGTGGGAATCCAGCACCTTAACCACCATGCTATCTGCTACCCCTGTAAATTCTTTTTAAAAAAATTATTACTTTATTTAACTTTATTTATTATTATCTTCCAGTTTGATCAGAGAGAGATGGAGACAGAGAAAGAGAGAAAGTGAGAAAGTAGGCTGCCAGGGACTCAAACTGCGGTCAGCCATGTGGGAGTCCAGTGTCCCTAACCACCACGCTACTTGCTGGCCCCCAACCCCGTAAATTCTAACATTCTTAATTCTTCTTAAATAATGCAGACATGCTCATAAATTTCCTAGAGAAAAGAAAAGTTTAATTGGAAATCACTGATTAAGTACTTATTTTTATGGCAATTATACTACTGATCTATCTTATTCAAAACTTTCCATCATCTACCAAAATAACCTATTCTTACTTCTCTAACCTTTTATATCTGTGGCATTTTTTACTTAATTAGAAAATGTATTTTAACCTTATGTCATGACCTGTAAGTTTTATGGAGAATTGAATCAACCCTACTATGCATTTAAATATTTTTTTGGCCAGAAATCATTTTAGGAACTAAAACTGACATCTACTGGGTTGCTCGTGAGTCACTATGCTCGCCACTGGAGGTATTCAGACAGAAGCTTACTCACCACCTGTTACTCACTGCTGGACCTCCAGTGAAGCCGAGTTCTCCCTTTAGTGTCTGACCTTGCTCACCTGCACTGTATATTCCAATTCACACCATGTTTCCTGTAACTTTGGGGACTTTGCTTCTGAAAAATGTTATGTATTAGGACGGCCTTCTTCTTCAGAAGTAAAGAAATCCTATTCTTCCTGCTTTCTGCTCATCTCACTACCTCTGTAAAACTTTCCTAGACCCTCATTGTAACATGCCCATAGCACTCTTCACATAGTACTTTGAACTATTTAGACTTTTTAAAAAAATATTTTTTTTGGAGAGGCTTTCTGCTATAGGGCGCGTGCGCTTGCCAGACAGACAAAGAGAGACAGAGAGACAGAAAGTGAGAAATCACCCCCCAGGCGGGATAACCATGCCACAATCCCTTCTCCTCCATTCTCCTCTTGGGATCTTGGGCATGTGCGCATAAGCGCCTGGTGTGAGTTTAAGCCGCCGGGTCCGGGACCCGAACCACGGTCGACTACGTGGGAGCCAGCGACATAGCCATTACACTAACTGCTGGTCCCTAGACTTTTAAAATTTTGAAGTTCTTTATATATAGCTCATGTGCTCCATGGCCACTGTATTGTGGGGCCCATCAATGAAGAATAGTATTTTTGTTTCTCTTTGTATTTTTCAGAGCCTGAATGTTAATGTTTGTTGAATAAATGCTTGAATTAACAAATAAATGAATACATGCATACATCCTATGGTAGTTATTCTAGCCATAGGGAGAGAGTTTAATTACATGCTCTTTAATGTCCCTTATAAGGGTGAGTGTATTAGTCTATGATTTGCACACTCATATTAATTAGTTGCCTCAGCTGGTGATAGCATGGAGTTCAGGAGAAGCAATAGATCCCAACCCTCTATGGGCCAATTACCTTCACAGAAAATGAAGAGTAATAATCTACGTTCCTAAAAATAGCTAGTCATGGTACTTCAGTACAAATTCATCTTCCCAAATGTAAAAGCCATGAAGTTCATGTCCTACTCCTGGAGGGCCAACTGAATTATCTTCCTATATTAAGGAAAAATGTATATCAAAATGGATATAGCTCTTAAAAAAGAGTAAAATCTTATTTGTGACTATAAACCTTATGAATATCATCATCCAGTCCAGGTTCCAGTTGATAAATCACAAAGTTGGGATTGAATGTAGAGTTCATGCTCTTAAGAGTGCCTAGGACATGGTAGGCACTAAAAATATAGTATTATTATAGAACTCTTGTATTAAAAAATAAACTATGTGCTTCCCTATAGTCGAAGAAAAATCCATGTAAGTCAAATTCAGTTTTGTAGTATATTATTCTCTTGCTACTAGCCTGGCAAAACACATCTTTACTCACGATGCCCTATTTGCCCTTCTGCACCCCCATCTCTTACTCACAATTTATGTTTCAATTCAAATGTGATCGCATCTACCGTGTCCTCCTGAATCATCGCAACTATAGCTGGTTGATGGCTTTTTTTCTGACATGTTTATGTTTTACCCAGTACTACCTTTCTTTGTTAAATTTCTCCAGGATAGGCACAATGTTTTATTTCTGCTAAAGTCTGAAATATGGAATAGTGTCCTACATACACTTGTACAGAATAACTTTTTTTTCTTTTTAGAGAGAGGGTCTTGCTATGTTGCCTGGGCTGGCCTCGATCTTACAATCCTCCTGCCGCAGCCTCCCAAGCAGTTGGGACCACAAGTACACATCACCATGTTTGACTAGAATAAATGTTGAATGAACAATGAACGATTTCAGTATTGGAGTTGTTGGATTCCTGGTTCCTTCCCTTTCCCTTCACTTCTTGCTAGGGCTGACAGTCACTGATGTATTAGTCAGCACCTTTACTAGCAAGGGTATTAAAGTAGCCCTTACCATCTGCTAGTTACCTAGTAAGTTTTGCTTTGTTCACAGAATTCACCAGTGTTAGCACCTTCCCTCTATCCTGAAGCAGTGCCTTGAAAGAACAGGAGAATGGCCTTTCAAAGACACAGCTACAGCACTAGCTAGGTGACAACACCTTGCAGGGCTGCAGCAAGGTTCTCCACAAGGCTGTAGAAACTGAATCAGCATCTTAAATTGAAGCCACTTCTCCCACAGCCAGGATTCACAGGTCCAGGAATCAAGGGATGGAAGTGGGAGTGGTACCACTCACCCTTACCGCTAGTGTCACACTAGCAAAATTGTTGCTCCCTATTCCCATGACCTCATGTTCTGTTGGCCTAGAGGTCTTAGTTCCAGAGGAAGAAATATTTCTACCAGGAGACACAACAATGTGTCTTCGAACTGGAAATTAAGACTGCTGCCCAGCAACTTTGAACTCCTTATGCCTCCGAATTAACAGTTAAAAAAGGGAGTTGGTTGGGTGACTAATCCAGACTACCAACAGAAAAGTGGACTGCCATTCCAGAGTGGAAGTAAAGGGAGCAGGTCTGGAATACAGGAGACTTCATAGGGTTTCTCCTACTATCACCACGGCCTGTGATTAAAGTCAATGGAAAACCACAACAATCCAATCCAGACAGGATGATCAATGACCTTGACCCTTTAGAACTGAAGATGTGGGGGCCAATGGAGTAGCAGTTACATTGCTGGACTGTCACATGGCTGGCTGCGCTTTGAGTCCTGGACCTGGTAGCTTGAAAATCTTGCCAGGTGTGTGGGTGTGTGCTCAAGATCTTGGGAGGAGAAGAGATCTTGGCTATCCCCCTGGGAGGTGGTTTCTCAGTTTCCCTCTCACTGTCTGTCTCTCTCTGGCAAACACACATACCCTAAGGCAAAAACCTCTATTAAAAAAAAAAGAATTGAAGATTTGGGTTGCCCCAACAGCAAAGAACCATAATCAGCTGAGGCAAAGGGATGTGGTATGGGTAGGGAGAAAAGATAGATATAAATGCCAACTATGACCACATGACCAGTTACAGAAATAACGACTGTTAATTAGATTGCCTCTTTATTTGTTGGGAAATGTGTGTGTGTGTGTGTGTGTGTGTGTGTGTGTATGTACGTGTATAGAAACTGTTTTCTAATTTCCTTATCATATAACTTAAGATGTATTGACTTTATATCACAATATTTGAGCTAATTTTATATACAAGTATTTAAGTTACAGAATATGATAGAGAAGAATAAACATCACTTAAGGACTTTACCTTTCTTCTGAGGAAGAAGTTTAATATATTTTTGATTGAATGCAGAATAGTTGTACTGTGTTAATGAACTGTTAATGGCTTTATTTAGAGATTAAATATAGTCTAAGGGGATGTACATGGATGGCAAGCTGATAAAGGGTGGACTTGTGATGGTTCATTTTATGTATCAACTTGATTAGGCTATAGGATACCCAGACATTTTGTCAAACATTATTGTGGGTGTGCATATAGGGTGTTCTGGGATGAGATTAACATTTCAACTGGTAGCCTGAAGAAAGAAGACTGTCTTCCCTTATGTGGATGGCCATAATCCAAGCACAGCAAAAAGCCTGAATGGAGGAAAAGGGCCGACATTCTGCAAGCAAAGGTAACTCCTGCTTGATTGACGTCACCAGGGACATCGGTCTTTTCTTGCTTTCAGACATGAACTGAAACATTCAACTCTTCTAGCATCTTGAGTCTGCTGGCTTTCAGAAATGCACTTACATCATCGGCTCCCCTGGTTCCTAGGCCTTTGGACTTAGACTGGAAATATACCATCAGCTCTCCTGGGCCTTCAGCTTGCCACCTGCAGATCTTGGGGCTTCTAAGTATGTCTGGGTGCCTGGTAGCCCAGACAAGTTGATACAAAACTAACCATCACAAGTCCAGCCTTTATCAGCTTGCCATCCATGTGCATTTCCTTAGACCATATTTACTCTCCAAGTGAAGACAGCAGCAGTTCATAATTATGCCTAACTGAATAAGCCAATTCCTTATAATAAATCTCTTTATAAATGACATATCTCTTTATGAATCTACTTATATATATCTTATTTCTTCTGTTTCTCTAAGGAGCCCTGACTAATACACACATTCACCTATTATTTTCAGTCTTTTTTGTCATAAAACCATTATCCTAGATATTAAACAGTAAAGTTCTGTCTTTTTCTTAGCCTCAAATCACTAAAGTGATAAGTATATTATCAAAATAAAGGGAAATGCAGCCCAAATCCATGAAATGTGAAAAACATAAAAGCATCACTTCCTGTAACACCAATGTGAAAAACATAAAAGCATCACTTCCTGTGAGATGAAGCATCAAAAGCAAAATTCTGTACCTGAGAGATTGCTAACAGCTTCTGTACTTTTATTTTACTTTCATGTTATTTGAACTACCTATCTCTGGCTAACCTATCTCCTTCTACTTTTTTTTAATTATCTATTCTAGGCCAGCCAGTGGTGAGGTGGTTGAGGCAGCTGGATTCCATATGACTGACTGCATGGTTAGAGTCCCAGACTGGTGGCTTGAAAAGCAAAACACTGGACACATGTGTGTGTGTACCCCAAATCATGAAAGGATAATGGAGAAGAAACTGTGCCATGGACATCCCTCCTGGGTGGTGGTGGGGGGTGCCTTTTCACTTTCTCTCTCTTTTTCTGCCAGGAGCATGCATCCTATAGCAAATTTTAAAAAATAGTAATAACTCTATTGGTGTTTTTTCCCTTTTTTCTATTTCCTATTCCACAGAATGAAAGAAGAAATAACTGAGTATTAAGAAACCTATGGAGATATAGCATATTCTGATAAACACAACTACTCAATTACTGTTATTTGGCTATTAAGACCGATCTCAGTACATGGTAGATCTATGTTAAATACACTATCCAAATAAAAGCTTCATTTGGTGATGGAAATTCTAAATTCCTGTAACACTCTACTTTTATCCCTTTTAGGGGACATGCCACTTTTAATAAGTTCATAACAAGTCTTGGTTTTACTTACCTAGATAGCCACATTTTAAAAAAAGTTAAATAAGATCTTAACTTTAGAGGTTACCTCTGTGATTCAAACAGTTGCCATCAGAAGCTTTAACACAAATCTATATATTTTGTAAGACTCTTACCGTGATACATATCCAGAGTTTTTTATGTCATTCCAGCTACTGTCATTGGATTCACCACTTACAGAATCATATTTATTTTCAGTTTGACACTGAGTTTCAGATTCCTTCCTTTGCTGATAAGAAAAAACAAAATCACTACCAGTACAAGCTGAACTGACATTAGTTAACAATCTTCAATTATAAAATAACATTGAAAAATAAATTAATATCGAAAAAGACAAAACCATTATAAAATAAAAAATATAACATTTCTCTTAATTATATTAAAGAAAAAAGTAGGCACTGGGATCTCACATAGCTAACTCAGTTTGAGCCCCAGATCTGGCAGCCTGAAAAAAATGACAGGTATGTGTGCACACACATGCCCCTAATCTCAACAGGATGAAGAAACAGAGTTGCTGGCAGGTGGTGTGGTAGTTAAGGGTGCTGGACTCCCACACTGTCGACTGTGGTTCAAGTCCCAGGCCTGGCAGCTTGTTTTCTCAGTTTCTCTCTTTCTCTCTCTCTCTCTATCCCTCTGTGGTTAAATCAAAATAAATAAATAAATACAGATAAATCACTCTTTAAAAAAAATAGAAAGAAAGAAATGGAGGAGAAGGGATTGTAGTTTTGATTGTCTCCCCTTACACCACTCTGGTGAGTGCACATGCCTTTGGGAAATTAAAAATTGTATCTTGACACTGCCATCCCTGTAGTATTTGAGGGGATTTTGTTTCCTTATAATGGGTACACTATATGTACAGCATAATACATAACTAGTTGTATAAAGAAAGTAAGTATGAGTGTAAACTTCCTGGCAAGACCAGAGTTTTTTTTCTAATTTCATAGATGCTGTAAATGTGTTTCCAACAAAATGAATTTCGTAATGTCTCACTTGCAATGCCTCTTTCTTTTTAATTTGCCAGAGGGTGCATGCACTTGCTAGGGGGCGAGAAAGAGAAAAAGGAAAAGTGAGAAAGCACCTCCCTTAGGGGAGTGGTCATGAATAAACTTTAAATGTTAAAAAGAAAAAAAATACGATCAAATAGTATGGTGGTTCATGTTTAGCCATTGGTTTTTAATTTTTTTTCCTTTTTCTTTTCTTTTTTTTTTTTTTTACCAGAGGCAATGTACTTACCAGAGAGAGACCAAGAGACAGAGAGAAGGAGGAGAAAGTAACTACTAATGGAGTGTGGTCAGGCGGCAATCCCTTCTCCTCCCTCTGTCCATCCTGTTAAGATTTGGGGCACATATGCACATGCCCATGCACCTGGCGTGTTTTTCAAGCCACCAGGGCCAGGTCTCAAACCATGTGGGATCTGGCTCCCTTAATCACCAAGTTGTGGGGCTGACCCTAGCCACTGATTCTTCTAACAAGTCTTTACTGAGCACTGATTATGTGTCAGGCACTGCATAAGTGACTGGGAATTTGTCTCTCTCATTTCCTTCCTCTCATAAAATAAATGTTAATTTTAAAAAAGAAAGAAATGTAGTCTAATGACAAAAAGAACTGGTTAGTTACTATCAAATAGATTAGAATGGGGAACACAGAGTGTTCTAAAACATTGGCAGGGAATCTAAGAATCTAAGGAAGACTGCTGGAAGACATGACAATTTATTTCTAAGTGAATGATGGTGAAGAGTTAACTGTGTGAGTTGGGAGGGAGAAAAAGTGTTCAGTGGTTTGGTCAGAGGGTTGACAAGTGTCAGGCTTAGACAGAGCATGACATACATGAGGGACTGAAAGGAGGTCACGTGGCTGCTGAGCATGGGAGAGAGAGGGGAGAAGGGGAGGAGGGCATCAGGGTAATGGTGAGTGAGAAGTACTGAGCAGGCAGGGTACAAATCATTCGAAACTGTGTATGTCCTGAGAAGACTGGATTTCAGCTAACAACAATGGGGAGTCGGTTAATAGAAGTTTCTTCTTGCTTGTTTTGGTTTTGAGAGATTTTTCTTTTTCTTTTTTTTGGAGAGATTTTCACTATAGAGCGCGTCCACTCACCAGGCAGACAGAAAGAGACATTAGAAACAGAAAGCGAGAAATCACCCCTCAGGGGGGATGGTCACACTGCAATCCCTTCTCCTCCATTCTCCTCTCGGGATCACACGCCCGGCATGAATTTTAAGCCACCGGGTCTGGGACGCGAACCACGGTCGACTACGTGGGAGTTCAGCGACATAGCCATTACGCTAACTGTTGGTTCCCTTGAGAGATTTTTCTATAGGGTGCATGTGTTCACTGGAGAGAAAGAAAGTGAGAAATCACCCCCCAGGGTGATTGTGGCATGACCATTTCCTCTCCTCCATTCTCCTATCAGGATTTTGGACACGCATGCACATGTACCCAGTGTGGGCCTTGAGCTGCCGGGTCTGGGACTTGAATGGTGGTCATCCTCATGAGAGTCCAGCGCCTTAGCCACTACGACACCTGCTGACCCCAAGGTTTTTGCTATTAGGCATGTGCGCTCACCAGAAAGAGAGAGACAAAAAGTGAGAAATCACCCTCCCAGCGGGGATGGCCATGCCACAATCCCTCTTCCTCCATTCTCCTCTCAGGATCTTGGGCACGCATGCACATGCATCTGGTGTGTTTTAAGCCACTGAGTCCGGGACTCGAACCACAGTTGACTACATGGGAGTCTAGCAACATAGCCATTATGCCAACTGCTGGTCCCCCACAGTTTTAATGGAAATGCAGCCAGGGGATTAAGGTGTGGAGAGCATATGAAATGCCATGTTAGTAATTCAGGAGAGGTATAATGGCGTTTGTGCTAGGGAAACAGAAATTGGATGTGATGAAGACAAATTTGAAGATATTTATGAGGAAGATTTTACAGAACTTAGTGACTGACTAAAATGAGGGAGAGCAGAAAGATTTCTGGCTTTGGGGACTAAGTACGGCAGTACTTTGTACTGAGACAGAAAAATGCCAGCAGAGCAGGCTGGGGATGAAAATGGGGGTGGAAATGAACAGCCTGAGATAGGACTCATGTGCAGTAGCTGAGTCCAGAGAAATGTATTGAGGAATCAGCAGAACATAAGACGATGGGACTAGTGGATGGCGTAGCGGTTATGGAGCTAGACTCCCAGGTAATTGGCCACAGTGAGTCCTGGACCCGGTGGCTTAAAATTCATGCCAGGTGCAGGCGCGTGTGTGCCCAAAATTCCGAGAGGAGACTAGAGAAGTGATTGCAGCGTGGCCATCCCCTCTAAGGGGAGTGGCTTCTTGCTTTCTGTCTTTCTGTCTCTGACTCTCTGGTGAGCACATGTGCCCTACAGCAAAAATCTCCCATAAATATATATATATATATATAAAAGAATACAATATGATTGGAATTAGGAAAGTAGGGGAGAATATGGAAGGTGAGTCTGTGGAATGGACAAGGAAAGAGGAAGCTGTGAGGAACCAATGTGACTGGGAGGGGCTGAGGAGGTGAGAGCCCAAGGCATCCGGGGCACTCCCAAGGAGGAGACCAGGACGGTATGGTGTCAAGGAAGCCAACCAAGAAAGGACAACAAGAGGTGTTCAGCCGTGTTCAGTACAGGAGGTTCTGTTAGATAAAGACTGGAAAATGTCTATTACATGGAACAAAAAGAAGATCACAGAAAACCGTGGCAAGAACACCTTCAGCGGAATGGTAGGAGTGGAAGCAAGACTGGGATGAGGAATGAAGAGGAGGAAGTGGAAACGAGAGCAAAGGCCACAGAGGCTTTATGAGAAAATATAAGTACATTTCATTCCCCTACACACAGTTTTCTATATTCCCAATATATTATCAATATATTCTAAAAAGTATCTTAAGAGTCTGAAAAAATGTCTTACTCTGTGAGGATGAGGGTGGAAAAGTCTGCGCACAATGAACGTCGTTGCTATGATACAAAATAAAATCGTCCCAACTATCTCTTTCCACCAGTGTAAGAGGAGTACCGGATCCTTTTTGCGGATGTTCTTGTTGTAATTAGGGCTGTCGAGGAATCTGACTGTGATCTGTGTGCTCCGTTTGTTCCTCTCCCTCTTGTAGTATGGTAGGTAATAACCGTTATCTTCAAAAACAAACGTTAGCAGAGTTTGGATTTTTTTGAGATAAATAAAAATAAGCCCATCCTTAACTGCTAAAAATGATCAATTTTCCTATGACTTACAATGCGAATTTCTTTTTTTACATTTTGTCTCTTCTTTAAAACCATCATTTACCTTATTTTTTTTTTAACTAAGTACATACCTATTCCTTTATCCTATAAACATCTTACATTTCCTTTTCATTAAATATTAAGACTAGGAAAAAACTCAGTAATTTAATCTTTTAGATTTTTTGAGAGATTTTTGCTGTTGATGGAGAGACAGAGACAGAAAGCAAGAAATCACCCCCTCCCCACCCCGGAGTGCTGGGGGGATGGCCACACAGCAGTCCCTTCTCCCCTCTGTTTACATGCAATAATTTGCTTAGATCTATTAACAACTCAACGAGTAGACATTAGGATCACTAATCTCATTTCACAGATACAGGAACCGAGACATGGGAAGTTAGATATGCCCAACCAGGAGGTAGCAAACCGGAGACCTGAACCCTGACATTCTGATTTTGGCAACTGCAGGCTAAGCCACCATTCTCAATATCGTCACCAAACGTATTTTATTTTCTATACTATAATCAATTTCCCTTCATCCAAATACTACTAATTAATTCAAATTGATAAATAAATAAAACTCGGTACTTCCAAAGGAATCATACTTTACCATATGGATACTGTAAGATGGAAAGTGCACCATTACTATATTCTTCATGAGAAAACTTATCATTACTAAGACATTTGTCAAATTCATCAGATCCTACCAAGACAGGAGTTCTGGAAGGAGAATCTAAAATAAAATGGTAGAACGTTAATTATTACGACTGTAATGAAAATGTCTATACCTCGTTCATCAAAAAAAAACTGATTTTTAACCATAGTTCAGTTCAAACATGTATGTCAAACAAAAGGCCCAAGGTTCTTTTTTTTTTTTTTTTTTTGGAGAGATTTTCGCTATAGGGCGCGTACGCTCGCCAGACAGACAGAGAGAGACATAGAGACAGAAAGCGAGAAATCACCCCCAGGGGGGATGGTCACGCCGCAATCCCTTCTCCTCCACTCTCCTCTCGGGATCTTGGGCACGCACGCACACGCGCCCGGCGTGAGTTCTAAGCCACCGGGTCCGGGACGCGAACCGCAGTCGACCACGTGGGAGTCCAGCGACATAGCCATTATGCTAACTGCTGGTTCCCAAAAGGCCCAAGGTTCTTGCCCTTGAAAGGCACACAGTACTGCAGAGAAGATGAGTCATTTAAATAAGTAAATAAATTCTGTGACACATGCCGTAAAAAAACACAAGGTATAAAGAGGGAAAAAGGCACACACTAGGTATAGAAAGATAATTAAGGAATAGATGTCTCAGTATCTCAGTATTTGAATTCAATTTCTTTATGTGTCTCAAAGAAAATGGTATGATAAACAAACAACTTTTCACCAAAGAGTCTTAATATAAATAAGTTAAGAGCTAAATGTTACTTTGGCATGGGCTGTGAATGGCCGAGTTCTTCTAAGTTTTATAGAGAAATATTTTATTAACATTTATTTGTATAGAAACAACTTGTGCTTTAATGAAATAATGCTTTAAATAATCATTAAAAATCATTATTGGGGCCAGTAGGTGGCATGGAGGTTAAGGTGCCAGATCTCAGGTGGCTAGCTGTGCAGTTTGAGTCCCGGACCCAGTGACTTGAAAATCACACTGGGCGTGTGTACATGCGTGCCCAAAATCCCAACAGGAGAATGGAGGAGGGATTGTGAGGTGGCCATCTCCCCCAGGGAGTGATTTCTCACTTCCACTCTTTCTCTCTTGTAAGAGTATGCAACCTATAGCAAAAAAAATTTAAAAAATAAAAAATAAATAAAAAACATTTTTTAAAATAATTATTTAATTTTATTTATTATTATTATCTTCTTTTTTTAAAAAAAATTGCTACAGGGCACATGAGCTCAGAGAGAGAAAGAGGGAAAGTAAGAAAGCAAGCTGCCAGGTCCACGAGTCAAACTACAGTTGGCCATGTAAGAGTCCCGCACCTTAACCACTATGTCACCTGCTGGTCACAGAAAATCATTATTAACATATAACATAACTTTATCAGCAAAATAAAAAGTATGTAATAGTTCTGATCTCTAAAATATTCAAATTTAGGGCAAAGACAGATACAATTAGCTCACCCAATATTTTCAGGTATTTATAAAAAGTTTACAATGCACTTACGTATTAAGGGCTTCCATTTGATTGTTGGCAAAGGAATAATTGCATTTTCACTATTCACGGATTCCAAGGCTTTGGGACTCGTTGGAAACTTTTCTGAAATTCTGACTGATGACTGCAAGTACAACTGGCCTCTATACATTCCTGAATCAACCAGAACATTGTTATTTATGTAATGGTTTTTTTTTTTTAAGGTTCATTTTAACTTAATGAAATGAGATTAATTCCAGTTACTTCTTCATGTGCCACATAGCTTTATTCAAAGAAGAAACATACCTGAAGCACTCAACAATAAGAGGATTACTCAAAAACAGAGAGGAAAAATTATACACAGGGTACACTCAATGTTTCTCACTGAACAATAGCACATTTCAGTAATCACAGAAAAGCAATTCCAGTAGAAAAACTCAAACACAGGAAGGTACTATATTCTCCAGAAACAAATAGCTTAGGTGAAGTAATGTTCTCTTTAAATAAAGTTTACCTAAGCATCCACAATTCCAGAGAAATGGCTAACAATCTGGTCAAATGCCATCCCTACACATATGTGGCATGTTATTCCTTCAAATTCTTACATTTAATTTAGATTTGAGTGGTAGGATGTATGTTGATAGAGCTTATAGAATTTTATGAGCATTTAATTACCTAAAACGGTTCAAATTCAAGAGTTTTCAAAATTTATTAAAGACTTTCTATTTCCCAGAAGTGCACCAGAATTCTGTCTTAGCTTTTCAGGTAAATAATAAAACAAATTCTAAAGTGAGAAGTGGAGACTTTGAAGGTATGTAAGTGATTTTAAATTGTGCTACATAATGGGAACATCCCTAAGTCATTGCAATCTAAGTCTCAGAGAAAAAGACTACACTGCAGTAATTAGAAGTTTCAGAACTGGAAAAATGGAAAAAGAGCAGAAATGGAAATCAAGGTATAAATCTTAAGGGCAGCCTAAATCAAAGACTGTACCTAGGAATCTGAGCTCCTATCAGCACTCCTGAATAGGAGGAAACAATGTAAGGATACAATCTACAAGTCAATGTGTCCATCACTACGTGAGTGACACTACTCACCCAAGTAAACACTGTTCTCTGTGGCTCCTCGGGCAGCTTCTACGATGTCTTCTTCATCTTTTAAAAGTTCATCATTAGATGTATAACTTGTATCATCAAAAAGACTAATGGGAATGACCTTGCCATCTTTAATCAACCAGGCAGATGCAATTGGAGTACAAAACTAAACAAAAACAGGAACAAAGATTTTAGTAATTCAAACAGTATTTATGTAATTTTTACTCAGAAAATACCGTTTAAAATCACAAACATCTAGGGCACCAGCAGTTGGGGTAATGGTTATGTCGATGGACTCCCATGTAGTTGACTGTGGCTCAAGTCTTGGACCTGGCAGCTTAAAACTCATGCAGGGCACGTGTGTGTACTTGCCCAAAATCCTGAGAGGAGAACGGAGAAGGGATTGTGGCATGGCCATCCCTATGGAGGGTGATTTCTCACTTTCTGTCTCTGTCTCTCTGGTGAGTGCATGCACCCTACAGCAAAAATCTCTCGTAAAAACAAAATCACAAACATCCAAAGGGCAGAGAATGAGCGACAAAGCCAAAGTGGTGGTTATTTCCCTCCACCTAAGAAGCTGAGTCAAACTGGGAGAGAAAGAAAAACAGGTGGTGTGGTGGTTAAGACAGCTGGACCCCACCTGACAGACTGTGGTTCAAGTCTCGGACTGGTGCCTTGAAAGACATGCCAGGCTCATATGTATGTGTGCCCAAAATCCCAAGAGGAGAATGAAGGCAAAGGGACTGTGGTGTAGCCATCTACCTGGGGGGGGGGGGGGGTGAATGCTCACTTTCTGTCTCTCACTCTCTCTCTGGTGAGTACACACAGAAAGAAAGAAAGAAAGAAAGAAAGAAAGAAAGACAGACAGACAGACAGACAGACAGACATATTTATAAATGCTGAGTGGTTCTAGGTACCTGGTATTCCCATTCCAGATGTCCTCCCTTTTTACTAAATGCCATAACCTTCCAATCAGCAACGGAGACCTTTATCACTGTGTCCATCAGGGCAGCTTCCTGTTCGTCCACATCTGAAATAATTTTAGACTCTTCTTTGTTCCCACTGGGTTTAAAGGTGCTTTCAATAAATCCGGCTCTAGTTTCCAAGTCTGGAATATACCGAAGTTCAAAGTGGCCAACACTGAAATTCCACCTTAAATTTACAAAGGCGTGTTTTAGAAATTTACATTTAAGTGAAGAGACCAAAAATATACAACTCCTTTAGATGGAAGAAGCAAATACTAAGATTGTATGAAGAGAATAAGAACAAAATCTAACCTGGAAAGGTGTGCTCTGCTGACTTTTGCCACAAGAGGGCCCTCTAGGGAGAACTTAGTCCTGACACTTCAGAAACAGTGAGTTCTGAGAGTTTCAGACTGTGACAGCTATGGGACAGGTTTTCTCTAAAAAATTAACGAATGTTCACACTTGCAATTCAGAGTGATTTTCTCAAAACACACCAAAGCCACCTTAAAATGAAGTAGTATGCAATCTGCCTTACTTCCCAATTAAAGGCTGGGAAGATTTCACTCAAGTGCAGAGAAGTTAATGTATCTCAATAAATCAATGTAAAAAGCAAGATACATGGAACAATTTTAAAATCATATGACAACATGACGTCAAAGAGGCATGTTGATCCTGCATGCCAAACTGGGATCAAACCATCTCCGCATGAATCTCGGATCTCTACTTACCAAGATGGGGCAAATGGTCTACCCTTCCCTAAGTTTCAGTATCCTTATCCAGAAAGTGGCAATAATAATGTTTCTTCTGTAATTAGTATACAAAAAAAAAAATCTCTTAACTATGGATGGTATAATGGATTATTATTTAGATATAGTCTAGCTAAGAATTCCAATACTATTGATATATATATTTCTATGCAAAAATGGGTCATGACTTTTCTGATGACCCAACAGATACTTAAAGAGCAAATCATAGAACATGCCTTCTTATTCTAGTAAATCAGAATTCTGTTAAAGCTGTACTTTTGCTCCTGTGGTGGCTGAGTGCCGCACTCTGAAGGGAACAAAATCCCAGCAGGAGAAAGAAGGTAAGGTTGTCAGCAGAGGCAAACCCCTATTCACAGACCAATGAACGTAGAAAGAATAAATACATTCTTTGTTTTTTAAAGAATTATTTTATTTAACTTCATTCATTCATTCATTTTACTTATTTATTTAAAAATTTGTCCACATTTCTTTTTTTTTTAAAGAATAGTATGGATTTAGGGCAACAGAGTAGTCCACGAAATCACCATAAGGAAAAAAATATATTTTGGTCTTAGATATACCTAACAAATATCAACAGCAGAGGCTGAATGATGATACAGAAGTAAAATGCAAGGTTCTGTGAGGCTGACTCACACGGGAACGCTCCAGGTTTGTGGCCACAGAGAGACTTTCCTCAATGTCCTGGTCACGCATGTGCCCACGACCCAGGGCTGCCTGGTGCTGGGGGTAGATCACAGTGTCAAGATCTGGTAAGGGACTGCCTGTCTCTGTCTGTCTCACTCTAGCCCATGGAAATAAACAAAACTTTAAAAGTAAATATGCACACATGTATATATCAGTGAGATATAGATACATGTATATACACGTGTGTATGCATACATACATACATACAGGCGTGTACACACACACACACACTCAATAGCAGCATTATCTGAATACGCACTTCTCATTGCCACTACGAGGTCCAACAGCTCGAACGGTTTTCTGGGTGCGTTGCAGAAGCAAGATGTCTTCTTCTTGCTCCATTTCATCACTATCCCACTGGCGACAACCCAAAGCTGAACAAATATACCGCACCTGAAAGGAGAGGTAAAAAATTAGTGAAGAATAGAAGTGAGAGAGCCAGCAGACGGTGTGGTAGTTAAGACGCTGGACACTCCCACATGGTTGACCATGGTTCAAGTCCCCAACCTGGTGGCTTGTTTTCTCACTTCCTCTCTCTCTCATCAAATTAAAATAAGTGACTGAATAAATAAAATTTAAATAAGTAATTTTTTGAAAAAAGAATAGAAGTGGGAGATCAGAGATGTTAAAAAGAACAGCTAATATTTTATTTATTTGTTTTTAAACAATTACTTTGTTTATTTACTTATTTTTAATTTGGCCAGAGAGGGACAGAGTGAGAGACAGAGAGGGAAAGTGAGAAAGCAAGTCACCAGGTCCAAGACTAGAATCGCGGTTGGTTACATGGGAGTCCAGCGCCCCCAACCACCACACCACTTGCTGGCCCCAGAACAGCGAATTTTATTTTTGGAGAGTTTTTTTTTCTTTCGCTATAGGGCGTGTGTGCTCGCCAGACAGAGAGAGACATAGAGACAGAAAGCAAGAAATCACCCCCCAGGGGGGATGGTCACGCTGCAATCCCTTCTCCTCCATTCTCCTCTCGGGATCTTGGGCACGCACGCACACGCGCCCGGCGTGAGTTTAAGCCACCGGGTCCGGGACGTGACCCATGGTCGACTACGTGGGAGTCCAGCGACATAGCCATTACGCTAACTGCTGGTTCCCATAAAACATATTCTAACCCAAGCATCCACATTTACATGTATTAGTAGGCCTTTCGCTGTGGAGCCAGGATCTGCTGAGTGGGATTCCCCTGACTTCTCGCAGAAACCCTCCTAAGGCACTCTCTCTAGGGCGCAGTTTTGGCATCTTTAAAGAGGAACAAGAGCCCGAAGATGCTTATGAGTGAATTTGGGTGCAAAATCGTTCTAGTTTTTTTTTTTTTCCTGGGTATTAAAAAAAAGAAAAAAAAAAGAAGAAATAAGGAGATGTGTAAGAAGAATCCAAGTAATAAAGCACCAACTAGGATACTAACTCCTAAACTGAGTTACTTAGAAACATGAAAGTACCGATGAATATTTTTCGTACAGAATAATTTTAAGGATTTAGAATGTTTTAGTCTAAGTTTGAGGATTTCTATGGAATATACAAGAAATAGATAACTGGTTGTGATATTATATCAGCAATATTAATAAAATTCTATGGGAACTGGAGGACAGCAGGTAGCATAGTGATTAAAGTGCTAGACTCCCACTTGCCCAACTGCAGTTCAAGTCCCAGACTGGTGGCTTGAAACTCATGCTGGGCACATGTGCACGCATGCCCAAAATCCCAAGGGGAGAATGGAGGAGAGGGATTGCAGTGTGGTCATTCCTCTGGGGGTGATTTCTTACTTTCTCTGTCTCTCTGGTAAGCACTGGCACCCTATAGCAAAAAATCTCTCTAAAAATTTCTATGTGAGCCAAAACAAAATAAACCTCCGTTTCCATATAACAGAAGTATCTGGTTTTTAAAATTTGTAATCTCTTCTAATAGCTTTCATATTTAAAAGTATCTTCTTTGGGGACCAACAGATGGCATAATGGCTACTTCGCTGGACTTTCATGTAGTTGACCACAGTTCGAGTCCCCGACCCGGTGGCTTAAACTCATGCTGGGTGCATGTGTGTGCGTGCCCAAAATCCCTAGAGGAGAATGGAGGAGAAAGGACTGTGGGGTGGCCATCTCCCCTGGGGGGTGGTTTCTCATTTTCTGTCTCTCTTTGCCTTTCTGGCGTGTGCACATGCCCTACAGCAAAAACCTCTTCCCCCAAAAAAAAGGCATCTTCAAGTTTTCATTAAAAGAAAGAGGAGGCCAGTGTAGTGGCATGGTAGATAAGCAAGGCTCTGCGATACTGAAACCACATGGGACAGGTCGAGGTTTGCATCCTGAGGTCTCTGCACATGGGCTGAGTATGTGAGAAACTGGGATCCTTGCTGGCTGAGGCAGGGGTGGATAGTAGCATGAGGATTCTGTTGGGCATACCTGTTTCTCTCACTCTCTCATGGAATAAATAAATAAATAGATTTTAAATTCTAAAAAGAGGAAGAAAGAAAGGAAGAAGACCCTCAGTAGGATTTCAACTAAAATCCTCACAAAAAGAAGACTACTGCTAGAACACCAGAATTTTGTAGCAACCCATCAAATCAGAACCAAACGATCATGTTCGCTCTTGCTTTACGGATGAGAATACTGAAGTAAACAGACTGCAGTGCTTGCTCAAATAAACTAGCAGGATGGCAAGGCCTCCTCAGTGCAGTGCAGATGCCGGTGGGTGGAGAAGGCAGAAAAACATCTGCAAGAGCGAGAAGATGCTATGGGCCTAACACTTAGATAAAGGGCCTGAGAAACTCAAGGGGAAGACCATGTTCCTATTCTTATTTCATTCTAAGTCTCTATTTAAAATGTTCACATATCAAGATGTTAAGGCATTAATAAAAAGATTTTTCTACCTTTTAAAATGGATGTTTTTAAATAGTTATTCCTAACAATGGATTTATATTACAAGCTCCAATCTTTTTTTTTTTTTTTTTTTTAAGAGGTTTGTGCCATAAGGGTGCATGTGCTTGCTGGGGAGAGGAAAAGAGAAAGAGACAGCAAGAGGGAAAATGCAAAATCACCCCCCAAGGGGGCTGGCCATTCCACAATTTCTTCTCCATTCTCCTCCAGGGATCTTGGGCATGTAATCGCATGACCATGGTGTGACTTTTCAAGCCACTGGGTCTGGGACTCGAACTGCAGTCAGCCAGGTGGGAGTCCAGACACATAAGTGCTGCATCTGCTAGTCCCACAAGCTCCAATCTAAGAAGCAGATTATATTATGATTATATCCCAAGAGCTAATATTCGAGAAAGTCTAGGTCTGTAACAGCATGACTTTGTTTTCAGACAGAACTAAGTAAGAGTTGACCTTGGAAATTTCTGAACCTTTTAAAGTCTCAGATTTCTCATCTATAAATGAGTACAAACTTTCCTCTTGAGTTATCACTGGCTCAAACTTGATAAATAAATTAGTAGTAGCCATCCTTCTTATCCAGATTATTGTTAATCTTTTTACTCATCTGCCAAAAGGTGAATAAAAATATGTAACCCTTAGAAATATTGTGAAGATTTCAAAATAATGTATGAAAAAAGCACCCGAAACATATGGACCGTATTTACTCATTTTCTTTCCCTTATAATTCCTGGCTGGCTCTGTTGTTTATTCTGCTACCTCATATAAATTTAGCTTCCTCTTTCTATTTCACAGTTCTTATTAAAACAAATTATATCCTTAGGGGAAAATTACAACAAACCTTTACTAAGAATAGTATGCTTTAAGAAATTATTTCTTCTATCCCAATGTATTCTGATTTTCCGCATATAAATACATTTTTCCACTTACCTTTCCACTGTAAGCGCTGAGTCCATAAGTAGTGAGAGATTTTCCTCCAACCAAAACAACATCATCTCCAAATTTATAAGAAGATTCAAGAAGTGATTCGACTGTGAACGGAACTGTTTCCATGCTCTCACGATCTCGGTCCCACTGGAAGAGGTCTCCATCCAGCGAAGGAATGATCATCTTATTCCCAAATACCTAAACAGAAGCTGACTTTTAGAAGGGTCATTACTTGAAAACAAGAGTTATAACCCACAGCTGAGTCTTGAGTTTAATATATTCAAATTTCCTTCTGAGTAGCCCATGAAGCACCTCCGTCTGTCAACCAGAAGTAATTTAAAAGAACTGCCGATCATTTCGAGTCTGCACATTATACTCCAGCATCTTTGTTCTCAAACTCTGTGCCAGGGGCCAAGAGGGTCCCCTGAGGATAAGGAGATACCAGACCATTGTGTAATCAAGTAAGTTCAAGAAGAAGTTACTCTAGGAATTCTTATAGCCATTAGTATGTTACTGTATAACATGACTTTCTAGTAAATGGATAATACAGGAGTATTTTCTAGGCCTATTTTACCCCGGCTACTAACTGTCATAGACTTGACTCCAAGAATAACAGGTTTAGGGAACCAGCAGTTAGCGTAATGGCTATGTCGCTGGACTCCCACGTAGTCGACCGCGGTTCGTGTCCCGGACCCGGTGGCTTAAAACTCACGCCGGGCACGTGTGCGTGCGTGCCCAAGATCCCGAGAGGAGAATGGAGGAGAAGGGATTGCGGCGTGCCCATCCCCCCTGGGGGGTGATTTCTCGCTTTCTGTCTCTATGTCTCTCTCTGTCTGTCTGGCGAGCGCACGCGCCCTACAGTGAAAATCTCTCCAAAAAAAAAAAAAAAACCAAGAATAACAGGTTTAGAGAGGTTCATTCAAACAGTATCCCATCCCTTTAATTTGCTTTCTCAAATCTGCTGAGCTAGAACCTTGTTAACTAATTTTCCCCCAAAGGAATGGTTGTCCTTTTTTTTTTTTTTAACAATGTTTACCAAGGGCCTACCTAGTGGGTAGGCACCTCCTGGTGTTAGGACAGACCAGTGAGCAAAAGGAACAGAACAAACCACTGCCCCTCCCAAGTTTAAGCTCTGGTGTCAGGAGACAAACAACATTATAAATAAATTACGCGTAGGTTAGATGATAAATGCCACAGGGAAGAAACAGAACATGATAAAGAGGATCTGGAAAATACGTATGGTGGGGTGGGGATTCTCAAGAACAGGCTCAGGGCAGGACTAGCCCTGTAGCTCGGCAGTTAAGGGAGGCAGATCCCAAAAGGCCAAATAGTGGCTGGAATTGGCTCCAGGAGCTTGAGAAACATGCCAGACACATGTGTGTGCATACCTCCAATCCAGCACACACGTGCACGTGCACACACCTGAAGATATTTTAAAATAAAGGATAATTACTTGAAAACTCCCAAAGGGTTGCTGAGAGCTCCAATTCACTGCTTAATTCCCATATGCTCCTTTCCCTCACCTTCACCCCAAACTCCAGGATTCTTAGGACAGGTTCAAAAACCACTGTTTCAATTCGCTTTTTTTTTCCTCTCATTTTCTACTTTGAATCCTTATTATCTCCTCCCTGAACTATCATAATAGTGCCTTCACAGTTCTTAACTCTTAACTGGAAATTCCCTCAATCTGAGCTCTGCGTATCTTGTAGATTAATCTTTCTGAACCAGAGTTAAGCCTGTTATGACACTATTCAAAAATCTGATAGTTCTCTATTATCTTCTTATTAAAGATCTCAAATCCTAAAGACCTAAGTCCTTTAGAGGACACTCAAAGTTCTCTAAATATGCCCTCAAACAAACATTTTCATCCCTGTCTTTCACTTTTCTCTACATGGGCAGAATCTGGCACGGTTAGTTAAATACATGTAATGTGACAGCTACTGTTCAGTGATGTCATTTCTTCTCTGTGGAACTCCCTCCTGTACCAACCCAATTCTGCCCAGTGAAATCTAGCATTACTTATGTTTCTGCTTTGAAACCCAAGAAAACCTTGGCAGTGTGAAGTCTGCTGACACAAGTCTTCCCATTCTCTAATTTTTGCTGTAACTACAACTGAAGATACTGTCACATTCTCAAAGATCAGTTACTGTACCTCTAACAAATCTTTATCAGGTACACAGCTGCTTATTTACATGTCTGTGTTTATAAGGTAATGTACTCTAACCTAGCACCCGGATTTTATCATCTTATTCTATTCTCCACCAAAAGGAACCAAGACTACTCAGAAAAATGGCTAATTCCAGTGCTAGGGCAGGGTGCATAGATGACGGGCCTTTAGAACCAGACGGTGGCATGGTGGTTAAGGTGGCTGGATCCTACGTGGCCAACTGCACCATTCAAGCACTGGACCCCATGGCTTGGAAAACATGCTAGGCATGTGAGTGTGCAGGCCCAAAATCTTGACAGGAGAATGAAGAAGGGATTGCAGCATGGCCAACCCCAGGGGTGTACCTTCTTAGTTTTCCTGTCTGTATGTCTCTCTCTCTCTCTGACTGATGAGTCCATGTGTCCTATAGCAAACTTACCCAAAAATTTCAAAAAAAAAAAAAAAAAAAAGAAAGAGACTTTACCACCTTATTATAGCAAAAAAAGATGGGGGCACACCACTGGCCAAGTCTGAGATAATTTAAGCACTAAAATAATTAAGCACTAAATTTTAAAAACAGGAATTCACAAGTTCATGCCAAAGACAAACAGATACAATAAATAAACAGAAGAAAATGGAGGGCTGGAGTTGTAAAAGTTAGCTCTGTGTAACCTTTTATAGTACAGACTAAGAAAAAAATCAAAGAAGGTGGAAAGTCTCGGTGGAAATTTTAATGAGGAACAAGACATTTACATGGTCTTAAAAGTGTCTTCCTACAGATTGCTTATAAGTTATAAGAAATAAGGGAATCATATGAAGGCATAGGGGTGAAACTCAAAGCTCTGCAAAGCTGACCAATGAGGGAAGGTTCTAGGTTCGGTTTGGAGACCTTCCTGTTATGTGCACATCCATGATCCAGGGCTGTCTGAAGCTAGGGGTGAGTCATGGCATGAAGACTCTGTTGGGCATAGCTCCCCAAAGAAAGAAAGAAATAGTATCTGCCATTTCAAAAAGAAAAGTTACAAGAAATTAAAGAACAAAACAGTAATTACATAGTGAAGTACACAGGCAATATAATTGTTTTATTTAACTTTATTATTATTATTATTTTCCAGTTTGATCAGAGAGACACAGAGAGAGAGCAAGGAAATGAGAAAGCAAACCACCAGGTCCGAGACTTGAACCATGGTTGGCCATGTGGAGTCCAGCGCCTTTAACCACCATGCCACTTGCCAGCCCCTATAGGCAATATCTTGATTAGATTAAAAATGAACATCACTGGGGGCCAGCAGGTGGCAGACTATTTAAGGCACTGGACTCCCACATGGCCAATTGCAGTTTGAGTCCCGGAGTGGCAGTTTGAAAATCACGCTGAGCATGTGTGCATGTGTGCCCAAAATCCCAAGAGGAGAATGGAGAAGGGATTATGGTTTGGCCATCCCCTCTGGGGTGGGGGATGATTTCTCACTTTCCCTCTCACTGTCTCTCTGGTGAATGCACATGCCGTATGGCAAAATCTTATAAAAAATTATCAATGAGTCATAGATGTGATGCAGTGAGAAAGGCCAGATCGCCTATGTAGTAGTCCAGCCAAGAATGTACAACCTAATTGCCAAAATAGTCGAATAAGCACAATACAGGAAAATTTCCATGTTTTTAAATATGAGATCAGAAAGACTGTATTTTTCAAAAATGTTAATGTCATAAAAGACAAAGGCTATTAAAAAAATCCAAATGAAAAGAAGATAATATGACAAATAAATGCAATACTCAGTCCTGGCTAGACAAGGTGCTGTAGTAGGGTGCAGGATGCAATAAAGGACATTATATGGTCAACTGATGAGACCTGAATATGGATAGTAGGTTAAAGTACTGTATCTCTTATCAGGAGATACACACTAGTGTATTTAGGAGTAAACGGCCATGATGTATATTTAATTTATCTGTAAATATCTTGGGGAAAACAAAAACAAAAACAGTGTTTATGAGGGGAGGGAGGAATGGGAGAGAAGAGAAAGTAAGAGAGTGAGAAAAGCATGTGAGCACCTTTGAAAGACAAAGCAAATGGCCAGGCTGGGGTAAATAAATCTAGGCATATAAGGGTTCTATGTTTTTGATACATTTATTTGCAGTTTTTCTAGTTTAAAATTATTTCCAACAGGGACCAGCTGGTGACCTGAACACCCACGTGGGTGACTGAAGTTTGAGTCCCATACCCAGCATCTTGAAACTCGCACCAGACGCAAGTACACATATGTGCCCAAAATCCTGCGAGGAGAATGGAGGAGAAGGGATTGTGGCATGGCCATCTCCCCTGAGGGGTGATTTCTCATTTTCTGTCTCTCTGACTCTCTCGCTCTCTGGCAAGCACATGCAATCTACAGCAAAAATCTCTCCCTAAAAAAAGTTGGTTTCTAATAAATTCGCAAGTGACATTAATATGCCACCTACTACCACCTTAGAGTTTTAGCATTATTTTATTCTCACTTTCAAATATTTCTTGATAATAGACATTATTTTTTTTAAAAAGTTTATTTTTATCTTTGGTAGACTCCATTGGAAATTGTTATTTGAACAGTATTTTTTTTTGCTATGGGGCATGTGCACTTGCTGGAGAGACAGAGAGAGATAGAGAGACAGAAAGAGAGAAATGACCCTCTACCCCCGGGGGATGGACACACCACAATCCCTTTCCCTCCAGTCTCCTCTTGGGATTTTGGGCACATATGCACCTGGCATGAGTTTTAAGTCGCTTTAAGGCATAGTATACACTGCCATGACAATGTGCAGTAGTTAGCTACTAAGATCTCACATTTTAAGTTATATATCGGTTAGAGAATCGGTTATTTACTGTTCTCTGCCTTCCATATTATGTTGGATATTCTATATTCTTTTTTTTAATCTTTTATTTTTGTGCAGCAATCAGTAGTATACTTCTTTTAATTTTTATTTATTATTTATTTATTATTATTATTGTTATTATTATTTAGTTTGATCAGAGAGAGAAAGGGAAAGTGAGAAAGCAAGCTGCCTGGTCCAGGACTTGAACCAC